GTATCTGTCATGTTCTCCCTTAAGAAAAACTCAAGAAAAACGCCCAGAATTCTAGGAAAATGTGTTTAATCTGAAGTGAGATCTTGAGATAGTTGCTCAGTTGCATTAGGCAGTTGGACCATGGATTCAAGCACTAGCGAGAGAATGCTAAAATATGAAACGCTCTCCCAAGGGGGGGCCGGAGCCCCCCGGCTTGGGCCGGTAAAAAAATGTGTTTAGGTTCCAAAGATGTAAAGTATACTGGATCCAAGGAGTGCAGCCCAAGACTTCAGCATGGCAACTAACCAACTACAAAGAGTAATCAGATCTCTGACAAATACTATTCAGATGATCATTTTAAATTGTTCATAGATGTTCTTCTGAAAAATGTTAATAACAAATTCCTTTTGATGAAATACAAAGAGAAGATTCTTAAAAACAATATAGTGGTAAGCCATAGTGGGAATTTTTTAATGATAACAAAGGATAATATCGCTCTCTTTTGTCATCTGAACCTATTATTTTCTGTTTATGAGAAGTTTCTGATGTTACAACTCAAACCAGAACCTTCATTAACAGTATATAGAAGAAGCACTGTTAGGCTCTCAAGGATCAAGAAACACCCAAGTTAAGGATGTACGCACATCTCAGTGAACTGGAAGATGCTTATCTACCAGTTATATATCACAATTCCATTAGCACACACTGCATTCAAATAAAAAAACTTGTTTTCTTCTACAGCCTTAGGTACTTAGGAGTTTTCTAAAACTCAATTCATTATTGTCCGAGGAGGCTTGTTTAACTTTCTACATAAGTTTTCTGTTCCTTAAAATATTTATTCAAATAATTTTGGCAAGTATTTCAGATTTATTTTTAACTGCTCACACAGAGTTTTCATGATTTGGGGGCAGAGTTTTGTAACTACTAGCACACGCCTACCTAGACAAGTGCACAAAGTCAAGCCACTGATCCCTTCTCAGTTAGTTATGTGAGAAGATGCTTCAGTCCAGAAGCCCTACAAGTTGTGTGCTATTGTGGCCCTGCATCTCAGCTATACGTCCTGCCTCTCAGAAGAGCCTAGTTTGAATCCATCTTTGAGAGAGTTTTTTTTTTCAGGCCACACCTACAAAGCTGTGAATGCAGAGGCACTGTAAATATCAGCAGTTTTTCTCCATTTTAGTTGGTCATTTACTGAAGAGCTAATTATCTCTATGAAACAACCAAGGTGCACATGCCTTATATTCACCTTGGCAGGATGCAATGCATTCTACCTGCCCGTTCTGAGAAACTCTGGGGACAAATTTAAAAAACGAGTTCAAAGGATGAGAGGTATGTAATATGAGCGCCGCATTCTACAATCAGAAAAAAGCTGATGATCCCTTATATCTGACCCGAAAGCCACTAAAGTCAGTAACGCCCTGCAGAAGTGTTATAAGTTACAAACTACATTTTTTTTCCTTTCCTGTCTTTAAAACACCACACAGAAACTTTTGATAAGTGCAGTCTCTGCCTAGGTTTTCTGTTCTTACAGGTACAAACACTCTGCAGAAAGTCATAGATTCTTTGAGCTTTGCAATCAGTGAGTATTGGTGGCCAATGGGAATACACTAAGGAAGGAAGATAAGAGAGTACAGCCAAAATGCTGGTAGCAGCAACAGCATTCGCACAGAACAAGTGGGTTACAGAGGCATATAGCAACAGGTTAAGCAGCAGCAGAAGAGACAGGAAGGGTGGATCTAGGAGAAACGAGACAGTCAAAGATGGGGAGGCTAGGAGGAAAGAAGATATACTACAAAATACAACACAGAAATACACAAAGACCCAGAATGCTCAAAGAGAAATATGGAACTTAGAACTATGCTCTTGTACAAATAAAGTAGAATTTCTCCTAAACAGAACTCAGTTTTAAAGGGTCCTACATTCAGCTTAGTATCACTCCAAACTAATTGCAGCTACAGATTGTAGAATAAGAGGAAAATTAAGGTTAGGAGGAACTTCTGCCAGTCACTGAGTCCAACATCCTACTCAAGACAGGGTTAACCTTCTACATTAGACCAAGTTGCTCAAGGCCGTATCCAGTTGAGTTTTGATGGTCTCCACAGATAAGAGTTTCCACAACAGTCTGAACAACTTTCCTGAGCTTAATCACTCTTGTGAAGAACTTTCTCCTTCTAGTCAACTGGGAATTTTCTTGTGACAATTTGTGACCATTCTTACCAATCTAAAACTTAATACAGGCCTAAAAAAAAAAAAAACACCTCAATTTAAAAGTTCTACAATCCTTGGTACCAACACTATTTACTCTTCTTCTAGGGTAATGGGTGGTGATAATGATAATAAAAAATGCCTACTATTTACATTACTTTAAAATGTTGCTTGCCCCAGGTAGGTGGAATTTTGCATGACAAATATTAACTCGGATTTAAATTGAAGTTAAAAGATTGAGATTTTCAAATATATGCACTCAAACTATCTGTGAGTAGAAAGAAGTAATTAAAGAAAATCTTGTTAACTTTGGTCAGACTAAAGACTTGGATCCATACAGAGAGCTTTTAACAGTATCAAGAGTCTCTTGCAGAAAGATATACATTATTATTCCCATAACACAATCCAATTTTTCATGGAGAACAGAGTTTATTGTCATTGCATTTTCAGTAACTCTTCAATGTGGACACAGCTGGCTGTTAACACACACTAGCGAGTTGAATAATTTCAATCTTTCCTCCGTGAACTGACGGCACAAGCATATTATTATTTATAAAATGTTCAGTCCTCAGATGTAGAGCTTTTAGTTTTTAAATGAAATTTTTACAGAATAAACATTTCCTAAAATTAAAAAAAAAAAAATCACAATACTGCAAACAGGAGCCAACAACTATCTGAACCAATGCCCAGTGAGGTCCAAAAAAGTTTATATAAAGTTCAGAGAAGACAAAGGTTAAAGTAAATTCTATATTGAACCAAATTTTTTTTTTCTCCCCAAAGAAATGAACATTTTTTTTTCCTCTTAAGTAAGGACTCTGACCAAATCGTATATTAAATTCATACCAAGGCTAACACAGTACTCACATAACACATTCCAAGTCACAAAGATATGCAGCCAGTGTTTAATCTTCAACAGTTTAGTGGTTAACCATGCAAATGAATTATTTAATATTTTCCTCAGGAATCATTGCATTTCCACCTCCAGAGCGGTTAACGTTTGCATATCATCTCAGTAACACATGGTTACTGTTAGGATATCCAGCGACTACAGCCCTTATAGCAAAAATGTGGTGGTTAACGTTCTAAGGCACTTGACTCAACCAGATTAATATATGATCTATAGCAGAAGGCAAATTTAACTGAGGTAAATTAGACAACCCAAGCTGGGAAACTTATGCTTAGCTAAGTGAGCCATGGGTCTACAAAAAGCTTCAAATCAGAAAAAGATTGAAGGCAGCAACATGCAAATTGAAGAACTGTTGAAGAAATGCAATAGCAAAACAAACATGCACCCACATCCGGGATGTCCATAAAGAGGTATCACATACAGGAATGAAAAATAAAAGTAATTCCCTCTCTGCCTATGAGACCAGTATGGATAGTATTTCCAGTGTCTTATAGAAGATCCTTGAGTAATTCGCAATCTTTCCTACTAGGAAGATATATAGAGAAAGAGAGAAAAATAAAAGACTGTTGCGCTAGAAAAGAAATATCACAAATACACATGTGCAAAAGCAGAATAAAGACAATGGGACAGAAATAATAATAGAAGGTGAAAATTATCCACAATTTAAATGCATCAAGGTAGGATGAAATATCTAAGCACAAATGTCCTGCCCTAACTTAAACATTCATCAGAAAACACTTCTCAATGGAAAGTTTAAGTAGATTGTGGAATAATTCATCTAAGGACTTAGTCACTGATGCTTTGAAATATTAGGTTGGTATAGCCATTCTTTAAAAACTGAATGTTGCAATCTGTTACATCATAGAAAACATTTTTGCAACTTCCTATACATTTAATATAAAAAGAATAAAAGCAATACCAAATAAAATTTTTCCAGAGGCAGACCAAAAGTACTTGAAGGGTAAGGAATGGGTTTGTTTATTGCTCTGATAAAACAAGTAGTGGCATACAGCCTGCAATTGCATCTGTGTAACAATTCCACTGTCCTGATTCAATCACTATTTCACTCTGGGTTAGCAGACAGTCTGCTTAGCCCAAGTCGTCCTCTCCCATTCTACTGTTCACGGAACTTCTCTGGAGTTGTAAATAAGGTGGTCCACTACTGCCTAAAAACATTACTTCTAACAGTATTGCATACTTTAAGAGCAAAATCATCCTCTTAAATTTACATGATAAATTTTGATTGGGGTAGTCTACTCTTTCCTATTGCTATGAATGTAAACTGAAGATTGCTGGCACCAAAAATAAAATTGAGAGTTATCATTAGCATGTGAGAGGATAGGTCCCTCCTTCGAAAAGTTTTTTTTTTTTTTTTATTCCTTCAAAAGTTAGCTACCAAAAAATCTGCAGGTCAATATTTGTTCTTCATCCAGCCAGTTTGTTTTCCTGACCTTCTCTAAATCACAAAGAGCAAAGATCTACAAAGTACCACAACATATGATAAAGCAGAAAAATCACACTATACCAAAAAAAAAAAAAAGATTAAAAGGAAGTAAAAATAAGTAGCATGATTAGTACTTAAAACAGAGGAGGCTACTACAAAGATGTTCTACAGTAGCATAAAACTTTCAGTGTAATCTAGTTCCTTAAAATAAACACAACATCACTAACCTCAGGAGCACAATCTGGCAATGTATTATTTACAAGCAATACAAAACTCTTTTATTTAGCTTACCAGAATACTAAGGCTGCAATTTTCAGAGATCCGCATGACTTAAACATCCAAGTCCCACTGAAATCTGAGCATTCAACATAAATGAACTTTTGAACATCTCTCTCTATGAAATCCCAAAAGTCTAAAATGCATTATAATTCCTTCTGCCAAGACAGGCTTTCATGGTTATACCACCTTTCTCATAGAGCTCCTCCATGGCTCTCCAAGTTTCAGCTCGGACCTCTCGGTTGCTTTTACCTGGAACACGTGCATCAGGCCAGTGTATCAAATAAAGATCTAAAAAAAGAAAAATAATCAGACTCTTTATTAAATTCTCTTAAAAAAGAAAACAAAAAACCTCTACTATGCAAAGTAGCACATTTCATCCATGATGACCTCTAACATCTTCACAACAGTTATAATTATTATTCCATGGCCATCACTGTATAATTCCATTCATTTTTAATAAACTAAATCTACAACATTTTCTTAACTAACTAAAGGTGGCAAAGGTTGTACCAGGTGCCTCAGGTCACTGTACTTGGGAGTTTCATAGCCCCATAAGCACTTAAACTCTGAACATAAGGGGATTTTGGTCACTAGAGTAAGACTGGACTACTGCTGAAGTTCTAAAATTCTTCAAGTTTACAGAAGACAAACGTGCTCGGCACTTCTAGAGATATTTTATACAAGCACAGGCAGCAGGCCTGTTTTTGTTTTCTGAAGAACACCTCAATTTCTGCATTTCTCTTGGAAATTACAGCACAATCACACTTTCAAGGAGTTTTTTTTTTTTTTGCTATAATTTTGTGCTAGCATTTGTGTTTCCTTTTTTTTTTTTTTTTTACCATCACAAAAAATTGCCATTTTTAGGGAACAAAACTGCATTTTACTACATTTTATGAAATGTTAGCACATTTTCAAACACAACTAACATTTACTGCTGGTGAAATTATTCAAGTTGCTACTGAGAATGGCTGTCTCAGGAAAGCATTTTTTGCATCACCTCCATGCAAGAAAAAACTATCCTTCTAGTCAAAAATGAAGTATTTCCAACATAAAATTAAAAAGGATAAGATTACATATACCGGACTCAGAATTCCAACTCCGATTGCCCAAAGCTGGACTAGCAAACCTATAGTTTAGATCCTCAACAGACACATTCCAAATTTGCAAAATCACAGGACCCACAGATCCTTTAAAGGTTTGTAGACATTGCTTGCCATTCTGAAACAGAAACTTTTGAGCAACTTTGAAAATTACTACATTCCTATTTAAATCCTAACCACAGATTCAGCAGGTACTGCAAGCATTCCAGTCAAATAGGTGTTGATATTTGCCTCATAAATTAGTCTGACACAAAACAGAAAAAGGAAAGAAATGAATGGTTGAGATGTGCATCATTGTGCTTTACAGTATTTCTTTTTTGGCGGTTTATATCTATCCAAGGTTAAGAAATAAAAAAAAAAAACAAAAAAAACCACTGTCTGCAATGAAAAGGGCTTTTTTTCTTTGAATGCACCACAGCATTCACTCAGAGCATCTCTGTGTGTCCCTTGTCCTAGTTTTTTTTAATTCACATTTAAGGATTACAAATACAAATTCAAACCTTCACTTAAGAGGACAGGGTAACACCAAATTCAATTTTGTATACTGGTTCCCATTTGTGCGCATCATTGCAACACTATCAAAGTGAGTATTTCACTTACGCTACGAACCTACTTAGAACAGTGTAGAATTTTGTAGGTTGAAACATATATTCCAGGTCCATGTAGGAAAAGATATAAAATACATGCCCAAATCACAAGCCATATCCGCACCTACTTACTTACAACAACCCATTAACTTTCAAGCAGCATTGTTCAGACAAGTTAATACTGCTCTATGTAAGATCTGCAGCTGGATCTATGTTGCATTCAAGGAGGAAGTTGCTCATTCTTTGCTCTTATATGCATAAAATTCACTCACAAATTCAGAAAAGACTAAAAATTTTTCAGCTTTGTTCATCCCTGATCTGCGAACAATTACTTCTTCCTTAATTATTCAGAAGAAATTAGTTGCATTTATCAAGCATAAATATGAATATCTTCATTTTTACATACACTCACACCTACACCCATGCACTTTCTTTTGCTCAAAACGTTTTCCTCCCTGGGGGATTACATGAACACAAACATTTTACTTTCTGAGACAATGAACTAGTTTTCAATAATTTATCAAAACAGCTTAGGGTTCCAGTAATCAAGAATTGTATAATTTCTATCATTGGAAGCTTTTAATATTCTTAACTCAAAATAAAAAACAATGTTTCAGAGTATCAGGATGCACTGGAAGAAAACCTAAATACATTCACAATCACATCTTGTATTTAGCAACTTTTTAGAGCACCCTTTAAAGACAACCAAGCTGTAGCGGTGCCGTGGTAAATGAGGACCTAAAGTTGAAATGTCAAAAAAACAGTGCTGCTGGAAACCTAACATTAATACGTGAACTGTTTTCACATTGGCATTTAAAATGCTGAGTGGCTTGTTACTTCTTAGTGGTTGTGGCACCCAGGATCAACATGTTTCCTATTAATTCAAAAGCACAGGGATATTTTACACATTTAAAAGCAAAATAGTATTTTTCAATGATTAGCACATGGTTATCTCAATGCAATGACCATACTGTCCTTGCTTTTCTCAATCTTCACTGCAGTTAGTATGCAGATGTACTTTTCCCTCTTGCCCTGTCTTTTTTTTTTTCTTCTTTCTTTTCTTTTTTTTTTTTTTTTAATTCTATTGGAACAAGGATCAACGTGAAATAACTTCCAAATGGTCTGTATTAATACACCATCTGAACTGGGTGTTTCATCATTATTTGGATGCAAAATACAGCCAAGATCTATTATACTGAATATGCTGATATAACAAACATTTGTCCAACCCCAGCTGCAGAGCTGTGATAGGTTAAATCTGGTCAAATCTGATGGATTCAAAGCAGTCACAAGGAAAATAAAATTGTTTATGAATTCAATAACCCACAAAGCACATTCAAGAAGTGGATGTTTCATCCAAATCCTAAGGAACGTATTCTGCTACGGCCAAACCTATAAGATTTACTGCCATTTCATATTGGTTTATTGTGACTGCCAGTTGGAAGATCACGTTTAGAAAATGCAAGCAGCAGAATATCTGCTCTAACCACTGCCCACAAATAACAAAAATTTCCAGCTTCTCATGGATATATAATCTACTGATTCAAATAAAAACCCTGGAACATTGCTCTCCTAATGCCATTTGCCCATAAGCATTTATCGAAAAGGCTTCATAGCAGTATTTTACACGGAACACTTTTTCTCTTAAATCACTGACTGCCTCATATGAGTCTTAACAGCTAGTATTCTTCTATATTGCTAATGCGCAGATTTCTTAATCACTGTTATATCATTCCCCGAGTCTCTAGTTCGGACTGCATGGACGGACTGTATAGCCCAAATGGATCCTCAAGGGGATTAACAGGACTTTGCTTAGAACAAAGAGCTCAGCTACACAATTTAAGTTGCCAGGGCTCTAGAGCCTTTTCTGTTGCAGTCTTCTGAATGGCTGACTTCCTAACATAAAGTTCTAACTGCACAGAAATAAATACACAGAAGTGCTGAGAACCACCACATATTTGGTTAATATCATATGATGAATCAGGAAATTCTGATTTAGAGTTATATATTCTGTTCTACTTTTCATTTACCTTTATTTCACAGAGCTGCTGGCTTTAACGCTATCTTGTAACTATAAATTTACTTTCCCACATAAACTTCAGCACAATTTGCCACGTTATTGCTAAAACCTTTCTGGCTAGGGATTTCATACCCTCTCCATGCCATAGAATGGCTAGCAGAAAGATAACATAAAATGCAGCTGTATGCTCATGAATGAAAACAGAGCTAGGATACCTAAGCTTAGTTCTACAAGCCTATAACTGTATTTGCAAACTGGTCTTCTGCATTGCAGTCACTTTTGTCAGATTTGTGATAAGCCTCAACATCTCCAAAAAAAAGCCCTTATTTTCAGCATTCTTGAAACATTTGGAAAATTTACATTCAAAGACACTGCTAATTTTTTCTTGGAAATCCTGCCAATAGCACCTTCCAACTGGATGTTCCCAGGCCCACTGGAGTTCTGGAAGGAATATGCCTCCCTGAAGCATGATGCTTTCTATAAACTTCATGAAACACACTATAATAGTGTCTCTCCTTTGAGGGCCTAATTCACCAGCACATCTAGGGCTAAACTTAAAACTCAACCATATGAGTGCAGATCATACTGTGTCCATAAAAAATGATTAGTGGAGGTGATCCAGCAGAGCTTAAATTCAAATGGCCAAAATGGTTCCTCTGTTTGCCATCCCATCTCTCTTGCAGAAGTCACCAACCTCATTGATGGACTGGTGGCTGCAATGGCTCCTAAGCTAAAGTTTACAGATTGCCAAGTTAAAGAAAACTGAAATCAGTGTTGATTTAGGTCATTATGTCAGACTGTAAGTGGTGGTTCAGGAAAAGCTTTATAAATCGTTCACACATCCCTACATCAGTGGAAAAGAGGTGAAGAAAAATAGACAGGAAGACAGGTAAGGAATAAAGGAAGCAATATCTGGTAGGAGGGCAAATTGTGCAGGTAGCTTCTTGATTTGTTTGAGTAGTAATGTGGGCAAAAAAGTTTCAGATTTGAACATATCTGACAAACTTAAGTTCTGTTTATGCCAGTCCCAGGATTCATTCATATGGTGACCGCAACAAGAACACTTCTTCCTCACAAAATTTTTTTCCTCTCGTTATATATATTTCTACTTATCTCGTTATATATATTTCTACTTAGCAGTAATATCTAAATTAAGTACCTGCTTAAGCACCTGCTTAAAAAATTCCAGTATCTGAGAAAACAATCAAACTACAGTAAGGTGAAAGGAATCAATAGAAAATGATTTCCTGGAGTTGAGTCAAATTTTCTCTCATCAGCATTCAACACCAGTGCCATAGCAAGCAGGAAAAAAAAGAAAGCAAACAAAACCAAAGAAGCAGAAGAAAGCAGTAAGGAAGAAATATGTTATTTCTTAATTTAGAGGACAAAGTCAGATTGAAACTTTTTTTTTTTTTTTTTTTTAAATGAAAGCCTCTTTGCAATGGCCTGCATTTGCAACGGACAGATCAAAAGAGATTTTAACTCCTTTTGCGTTATTCTATACCTATGCAGGAAGCTGAAGGACACGTTTCCTTAAATAATGGAGCCAAACACGTGCATACAAATACCAGTCTTCCCTTCATCTTGCAACATATAGAAGCAAAAAGCTAGTGAACCTAGTACACAGCTGCCATCAACAAATTATTCTGCAAAATTTGTACTTTACAAAAGCTTTCACTTGTTCATTTAAGTGCATTTATTGGTAACAGGAGGACAGGGAGAGGAAGAGAAGCAAAGTGAGGGTTTACAGGACAATCACAGACACTGTTTGATGGTTAGATCAATTATTCCTTGTTAGTCGGCATAAAAACTATCTCAGTGTCATTATTTTAGATTACTACTTTAAATTTATCTTCCTCTCTCCCTCAATTTTCTTTTAATTTCTCCAGCTAGGAAGGAAGATGTAAAAACATCTATTAAAATATTTAAAAAATATTTTTAAATATTTCACATTTATTTCTAGCAGATACTTCCACTGCTGCCACCTAGGTGGTACAAAAAATTAATTTGGGTCATTACTGCAGCTCCTTGTTTGTCTAGTATGGATGTTCTCTCAGTAAGAATATCACATTTTTCAATAAGAGATATTTATGATCAGGGCAAATTCAAGAGCGTCTAAGTTCAATACAGTGTTAGTATGATTTAATCTTCTTAAGTCTTCTAGACTTATAAACATTTTCCACAAATGATTTTGCATCAGACAAAAACAAAGGCAGGTACTGAGATTTTTAAAAGGTGTCAATAGTCCTACACAGTAAGTTTTAGAGGATGCCCGTGCCTTGAGATTTAGAAGGCCAGACAAGAAATCAGGCATCTATCACTAAATCATTTTTAAGTTTCTGAATCTATTTCATAGTTTTTTTTTCTTTAAGCAAAATACTTTACCAGTCATGTAGTTCACCCTCAAATCAACTTAACAATGAAATATAATTTTTTCAAAAATTTAGTTTAAAATGTTTTAAAATATTTGCAACTGCTAAAATTAGGGGTATATTCTGTGCTCTCAGTTACACACACGCAAACTTCCTAGAGAACAAACAGAATAAAAAATTGCAAACATATAAATAACGGCAAAATTTGACTCCTGGGATCTATCTGTACTACAGTGTTGATTCAGGAGTTCATTTACCTTTCCAAGTATTTCTATGGATTTAGGCAGAATTTCTATGGAAGGTGCAGTAAGTGAACTATATAAAGAGTCATACCAAGATATTCAACACCAAGTCTTTTACATGACTCCAGGCAGGCTTTTTTTGTGTTTTCATAGCCATAATCAGTATGCCACAGTTTGGTAGTTATCCAGAGGTCTTCTCGCTTCACACCACTGTCTTTGATGGCTTTTTGGAGAAGAGATTCACAGCCATATCTTTTTGCTGTGTCAATATGACGAATGCCACATTTTTGTAATGCATAGACCACAGCATCATGGGAATAGCCACCTTGATGGGAAGTACCTAAAGAAAAGAAATTAGAAGTCAATTATCAACGGTAAATCATGAGTGACGTGTTTCAGAATTTTTGCTATTTTTGTGTTCTTCTTTTTTAAATTGTCACAGAATCTTCTTACTGAATCTTCATTTCAAAATAATAAAGAAATGGGAACTGAGAGATAGTGCATGCTTACAGATCTCCAGGCTGGGAAAACACAAAGCGCTAGTATATTGATGCCAGTCAGAAATATTTCTGCTGAAATCAAATATCAATAGTATTAAACAGTAAGAAGTGAGATCAGAGGTCAGGTTGAAGACCACCAAAGAAAAAAATACATACTTTTGTAAAATTAATGTGTGACATTTTCTTCTAGAAGTACAATATTTACAGATGAAAATATTAACAAGAAGAAACAAATAGATAAAAAGCAGTTTGCTTTGTAGGAGGCATATCCTGAAATCTTTATTCTGTTGAACTCTTGGTAGCTTCAGGTTATTATTGCACTGTATAACCCCACACTGGGCCATATTGCAGGTGCAACTTGCATATGAGTCAAGCTCAGCAGTAACTGAAAGAACGGAATCTTGCACAAGAGTTGGAGAATAGGTGTACAGAGAGTTCCAGTAACAAAGTATTGCAACTCTCATTGTGTAGGTATTCACTGGATGTACAAAGTAGTGCATTTTGCATGTCAAGAGGACG